CAGGTTCGGGGCGGGTACGGGGCGGTTCCAATTTTTTGAGAATAGAAACGGGGCGGGGCGGGGCGGGTCGATTAGGATTTAAGGGGCGGGCCGAGTTCTAGGATTTGAAATAACGGGGCCCCGGATGGCCCGTTTCTAACTATATACAATCTCTAAACCTAAACCATTATCCATCGATTCCATCCCACTCTCCAAAACCCACCCCCAAATTTCATTCTTCGAAATCCCAAACAGGGCCGCCGAGACTCACACTCGTCTCCCCCTCGACAACGACGACAGTCACGACACCACATCACCTCACCATCGGAGAAGACGAAGATTGCGCAGCACTGACCACCCAATCTTGTTCGAATCGGCCGATTCCGCGGCGCTTGTTCGGTTCTGCCTCTGCTCACTCAGAATCCTAGCTAAAACTTTGATTTTATTTATTTTTCTTAACTTGAAATCAAACATATTGGTCGACTCTCATCCCGATTCCCGACTCTCACTTTTACTGTCTCTCAAACTCTCAGACGGTCAGACCTCAGTCCCTCGACAGTTATCTTCCCTCGACTCTGCAAAAATCGATGTTGATGATCAGAGTGTGGAGCCTGTTGAGGAATTGGAGAAGAAGAGGAGCGAGGAGTTCCAAAAGATTCTGGAGGTTTCGAAGGAGGAAAGGGACCGGGTAAAGATTTGGACATTGTGTTTGATTTTTAATTAGGCAATTTGAATTTCTGATTGTTTGTTTAAATATGGGATTTTAATTTGGGGTAATGAAGATAAAGATATGTATAGTTTTATTTGTTAATTGAAATCCAGAATTTCCAAGAACAAAAAGTTAGAGTTTGATATCCTGCATATGTTTTGGATGCTGATGGGATTATTGTTTCACGGAGATCGCATTATATCAAATTGTAAAATGTAAATGGCCTAATTGTTTCACGGAGATCGCATTATATCAAATTGTAAATGGCTTTGTAAAAGTTAGAGTTGTGAATTTGTAACATATACGGGGTAGAACTTTAAGTTATGGTGGGGTGGTAAGTAATGGCATGCTGATTTGGTATTTTTTCAGAAGGTAGTGGATGAGCATCTGAATTTTGTGATCAAATTGAATTGAATACTTTTTGTTTTTGTTTCTTATAACTAGCATGTCAGTAATTTGAGCATTTCGTTATCAAAAAATTTTAATTTCAGCAGGAGCACAGATTAGAGTGTAGTTGTGCCAGTGCCTCAATCGGAAATTTCAGGAACCAGGACTCCAGGTCCTGATTTTTGGTCCTGGGAAGGGAACCCCCTCAGGGTAGTGATAAAGTTTCAGACGATGGCATTGACTTACCAACAGCAATGAAAACTTCTCAGCCTTTTTGGTCTTTTGTCGGTCAACAATTTGTGTGTTGTGTGTTCACTCTGTTTAATTGTGCTGCCTGCTTGTGTTCACTCTGTTTAATTGTTCACTCTTTATGCCCATTTGCAAATCTGTGCAATCTGTGCAGATTGCAATCTGTACAATTTTTTTTTTCAAACCCAAAAAAAAAAAAAAAAGGGACCCGTGGACCCGGCCCGAATCGGCCCGTTTCAACCGGGCCGGGTAATGTCCGGTTCCTATATTACAAAATGTAATCCCCGGCCCGGCCCGGCCCGTTTCATTTGAACCTAGGTTCGGTCCGGTCCCTTCAAAATTGGGCCCGGCCCGGCCCGTGCCCAGCCCTAGTTGTAGGTGGTCGGTTTTTCATTTTTAATTCATAAATTAGGGTGGATTCATAAAATTGTAGGGTAAAACAGAAAATGTATATGAAATTAAATAAATAAGAGTGTATTTATAATATTGTGGGTGCTAATAAAACTACCCGAAGTGAAATCATTTTAAAGACAAAGAATTACGTTGCCTCAGCCGTCATCGATAAGTTACTCTTATTTCCTTATTTGTATCATTCTATTATTAAGGACTTACCAATGTAATATTGAGTTTCTAGAACATTTAACTTTGAAAATGATCTAAACGTTAAGAGTTGGTATGAGGTTGTGGTGCTTCTAAAAAAACAGCTTATTAAAAAAATCTAGAGCACCAAAAGTGTTAGGTTTTTTAAATAATAACTAATGTCAATGACAATAAAAAAAAAGGCAAAAACATGGTCCACCATGCTTCTAAAAGGTGTTTTTTCTTAAAGCTTATTGATCAGCACCCATTTAATAAAATCTGCAAATGATAAGTATACCCTTGCATATTTTATTAAATTACAATCTTTGTCCCCACATTATTTTCTTTGGCAATTATTATATGACATCCAATATCGTATCTTTGTTAATCATTTAACATATTCATAGTAGTTTTATACAAAAGTTTACCAATCCATTAGAGTCTCATACACAATTTTGTTTGTTAAAAACACTTTTACAAAAAAATTTAAAAAAATTACTAAACAGTCAACAACTTTATTTTACAACTATATAATCTCACAACACAATAGAAGCAGTTTTTTCAAAAAATACAGCAATACCAAATTAGCTCTAAGACTGATCTCTAATAAAATTTTTGCTTCTCTTGTTAAAGAAAAAAAAATTCAATTTATTCAATTATAAATCTTCATATCGACCGACTAATGAAGGTATTCAAGAGCTCCTCCAATGAGGTGCAAGGGCTTGTGTGTTTATATAATTTTATTTTATTGTTCTGTCGTTTTTGGTCAATGATGTAGAATTTGGACCATCATCCAGAGGGAAGTAAAGTCTCAAAAGGATAAAAAGATGGAATTACGATCCAATTGTGTGATTAATACAAAATACGGGAGTCAAATTGCAAGGAAAAGGCATTGATTTATGAGGATGTTTCGTAGAGGCCGGGCGAATGAGCGTGTTGACTGGGCTCTCCGTTGGACCAAACCCACAAACAAAACTAAAGACTTTGAAATTGACGGATGGACGGATAATGAATACAAAACCTGCTTTTTCCTCGACGTGAACGACCTGACGCACTTCTCCATGCGGCCCCTCTAATTCCCAAGTTCCGGAAATGCCCTCGGATATTCTCTCAAAACTCAATTGTACCATTTCCTTCCTTCGTTTTTCTTTCAATTAATTTCCATCTCTAATGAGATGAGAAATTGTGAGGTGGGGAGGCGGCGGCAGGACGAGAAAATCAATTTCCATGGGACGAGATTAGCGATACGTGATTTTAATTTACTAGAATAATGATGAGTGCCGAAAAACTTAGACATATTATTATTGTATTGGAATGAAATGTTACGGTAGTGGAGAATTGTATTTGGCCTAAGCCAACAACTTTGATGTTATACAAACTTGCTGTGTAAGAATATCAATGGCATTACAAACCAAAAAACTTAGAATATGGACATAAAGTTAAGAGTAGACTTGGATTCCTTTTCATTTTCACACTGAGAATGCTAAGAACAGAATTGCCTTAATCCGTGATCTTGTTAATTCCACATAGTACTAAGAAAATTACGAATGAAGTTAACAAAAGAAAATTTTTAATTTGCCAATCAACCCCCCAACAAAAGTAAAAAAAAACCGAAGTGTATTGTATTTCCCTATATTTTCCCTACATGAGACCTATAGATAATGAGCTGAGTGAGAAATGAATTTATATTCATTTTGGGTACCCGTACAAAATTCAATACTATGGCGTTTTTTCACAAGCGAGATTTTTCAGTGAGCCAGAAACATGGTGCGGTACACCAAGTATAATAATACAACTGGTTGAAAACTTAAAATAAAAATTTCCAACCAATTATATTATAACATTTATTGTATCAAACTGTGTTTTCAACACACTGAAAAATTTCTTTCATCACAGAAGGCTTTAATATAATGAGAAGTGGCATCAATTAATATAATTCTAATTTATTTTGTAAAATTTGATATGAGACTTTTCACATTTTTCAACATGGTCATCTAATGTATGATTATATGGTTGTTTTATTTAGTTTGGAATTAAACATATGTTTTAAAAAGAAAATGAACGTTAGGTTTGTTTCACTAAAAATTAATATTTTGAAAGTGACAATATATTACCACTTAATATTATGGTCTAATGGTCTTCTCTTCATTTTAAGTGTGAGCTTCTAAATAACTAGTTTGATACCAATTTATTCTCTCAATCCTTAGTCTATGTATCGTTGTGTAAAATAAACAAAACTAAAGTAACATTGGTCTGGAAAAATTTATGGAGAAAAAAAATAATGGTCAAGTGATACAGCATAAGAAAAACTATTATGCTCGAGTAATAGAATGAACTTTTTCGTCTATATGTGTGTGAGAGAGAACTTTCAAGGCAGTTAAATTGAGAAAAATTAAACAAGAACTTTAATTCATAAGCAATTGAAATTGATAAGAAAACATGAGTATTTTAGGCTTACAATGAGTACTAGTTGGAATCAAGATCGTAACATCGTTCCCTTCGAGGTCATGAGCCTAAATCGGCACTACAACTTAAATGTGCGAAGTTTGAACATTATTGCCGGATTTACACTTTTTAATGTGTGATGACGGGTGATGTTATGAATTGAACCACTAGCTCAGTTTATATGATTTCTTTTTTCTTTTTTTTTTTTTTTGAAAAACTAACGAAAAATTAAAAAAAAAACTTTAGTTTTAATGAAAAATGATAAATAAAAGTGTAGTAAATAGTACCAGAGTATTTCATTAAAACTCATTTTTATTTATTTTTTTTCCTTTCATATGCTAAAAATACCCTATTTTCTTTCCATTGTTCGTGAATCTGAATAAACCTTGACTTTTAGCTATAAACAAGGAACAAAGTTATTGACTTTATTTTAGCTTCGGATATTACATAAGTTATAGCAACAAACCACCCAATATTGACATTGACTTAGCTAGTTTCTTGGAAACGCAAGGGTAATCTTGTATGATACTGTCCAACCTACTTTTCTATATACATTTTCCAAAACCCTTCTTCCCCATCTATGATTCATATCTTCTCTTGCCCCAAACACTTCTCTCTCTGAATCAAAAACCCATTCAAGAAAAAAGCCACCATGGATAGAGAACAAGATGAATTACAATTTCTTGGGATTTTTGGCATCTACAAAGAAGCCTACAAAATTGTATTTTCATGGAGAAAAATCTTCAGCCAAATCACCTTAGCCTTGATCCTCCCCTTGAGCTTCATATTCTTGGCGCACATAGAACTCTCAAACATCCTTCTCTCAAAGATCATCAGGAACGAAATAGCCCTTGATGGAACAAGCACCAACAATCCAAGGTATGAAAAAATATCAGATGTCATATCCTCCGAGTGGGCAACCTTTTGGCTTTTCAAAGCTGCATACTTCACCTTCTTGCTCATCTTCAGCCTTCTCTCCACCTCTGCCGTTGTATACACGATCGCGTGTATATACACGGCGAAAGAAATCACCTTCAAGAAGGTGATGAGCGTCGTCCCAAAAGTGTGGAAGCGAGTCATGGTCACGTTCCTGTGCACTTTCATGGCTTTCTTTTGCTACAATATAGTGGCTTTCCTAGTCCTAATTCTATGGGTAGTTTCGATGGGCAACAGTGATGCCGGTGTTATAATTGGGTTTTTTCTACTCATTGTTTACTTCATAGGGTTTGTTTACCTAACCCTAATCTGGCAACTGGCTAGCGTGGTCTCAGTTCTTGAAGAAGCAAGAGGGATCAAAGCCATGGCGAAGAGCAAGGCACTACTAAAAGGAAATATGTGGGTGGCTACAATCATATTCTTTAAGCTCAACGTTTTGGCCGCCCTCCTACAATTTGGGTTTCAACAACTAGTTGTGCGAGGAAGGTCATTTGGTTTGGTGGACAGAGTAGCATATGGAGTTATATGCTTGTTGTTGCTTTTCAAGTTGATTTTGTTTGGTCTTGTAATCCAAACCGTGCTCTATTTCGTTTGCAAGTCGTACCACCATGAAAACATCGACAAATCGGCGTTATCTGATCACCTTGAGGTCTATCTGGGAGATTATGTGCCTCTCAGATCTAAGGATGTTCAGCTTGAGCAAGTTTAATTATGTTTGACCAAGTAAAGTTAGGTGATAATATTAATTAATTTCTGTAATACAGACCTACCTGCCTTGATCATTAGGTGGGATTTAAATATATTTTGTGGTTTATGTACTTATAAAGCTAGTTTTTTCTATTCCTTAATTTGCACATGATGTTGAAGTTCTTGACCTTTTCTTTTAATTTTTGCACCTTATTTTTGTGGGTAATGCTGATGCATCACATAGCTGTTGATATCGATGGGATTAGGCATGCTTTTTATTTTTTATTTTTTGGAACGTTGGCAATGACATCCGAAATTTGGAAGTGGATGCTTTAGGTCGGGTCCCTATATTTTATTGATATTGCATCTTATAGGCCTATATAAGTAAAATTTACTCAAAAGTGTGGATTTGGTGAACTTATAGTAGAGTTTCAATGGGATTTGGAGATCAAATCCTATAAGTTTTGTGTTATTTGTAAGGCAAGAAAACTCATCATGATATAAATAAAGGTATAAAGTCAAAGGATGAAGACACAATTCTTATACAGCTGAGCCTTTTCTCTCTTCCACCCACATCACAAAGTGTCTTTACAAAAAGGAGAGGATCCCGAAGGAAACCCCATGAAAACTTCATCAACATCCAAGTAATCTAAAGCCTAATCTATTTGGTTTCAATTTATTTTATGCACCACATGAGGATTACTAAAGGCATGATAGAAGAATTTGCAAATGCCTACTTAACAAGAGTCGGTTAAAAAATTAACTAGCAACACACGTTTGTTAATGAATGCATTAGATAAAAGAAAAGGAATAAATGTGAAAACCAATTAGATATTAGACAATATAGAATCACCATGCATGTAAATATATTACTGAAATTGCTAATCATAATTGAGGTACAATTATATTTTCAAGTTTAAGTTCGCAAGAATACATTTAAAATCACTTAGCAGTACTGTTTCGGGCTAACGCCATCACTTACAAATTTACAGTGCTACTGTGTATGTATTTGTTTATTTTCTTTTTCAACTATATGTGTATGTCATTGTTTAAGCCCAAAAAAATGGTTTTGAGCCGAGTTTAGAATGATCTCGGCCCAGTGTTGGTTGGGCCGAGTTCAGAGTCATTCTCGGCCCAGAGATCATGTATGGGTATCATTGGGGGTTTTCTAGTTTATGGGCCGCGCAGTCGAAATTGGCCATATCCCATCGGGAATTGGGAATGTGGATGAGTCCTATTATGAGAAGGAGTTTCGACAGGATTAGGATGCTGGAACTGAATATGGCCTAATAACGAGTTACGTTCAAAGTCCTAATAAGAGTAAGATTGGCCGAGATAAAGCTGAATCAAGGAAAGGAGTTCTAATCCTGGAATGATTGGGATTCAATACAAGTTGGCTGCTATAAATAGGGAGGGAAGACATCGAAACAAGCCCTTCCAATTCAACACATAAACTGCCCTGCGCAAACTCTCACTCTACGCGAAACCTCTCAAACATCTTGAGATTTTTTTATTTTCCTTTTTCACCAACACATCTTCAGTTTGGATAAACAACACTGTGAAGGCAACCGGCGAACATCTTTAGTTTGGATAAACAACATTGTTGCCGTAGAATCAGCCGACCGTGGAGCACCTTCATTTTGGATAAACAGCACTACGACAAGGCCGACTGGTTATCTATCCAAGTCTCGGTTGAGGAGGATTTTCGAATCCTTATCGGCAGAGGTCATCTCGTTAGCCTTCTCGGCGAAACAAGGTGTTACAAGTTACTATACTCGGCACATTGAACGCCGAGTTGTTTGTGATTGGTTATTCGCAAGTAGGTTTTAGTGTTTGGCATTCTGATGGCCGAACCACTTCACAATCAAGACATACATTTGTTTTGAGTATTTGTGTCCCTATACTTTGGTGTCGATTCGGCGTGCTTATACTCTCACAAATATAATCACCGTGACCGAATCCGGCGCCGACAATTTGTGAACTTCGCAAAACTAGTAGCTTTGTCTTCAAGCTCTAAAACCTGAAAGCCGAGACGTGTTCTTCCTCGGCGCAGTCGCGAGATCACAAAGTCAGTCGCGCGCTTAACGCAACATCAACACATTTTACTCCTCGATCGAGCTCGGTCGACCAGTTGGCACGCCCGCATACAACCAAAGGACATAGTTAGCTTACTAATTACTCGGCATGTGCGCCACGTAGGCTTGGTAGTTTTTAGGGTCAACATTTTGGCACGCCTAGTGGAACCTAGTGCTAAGACTACGAAGTTCATGACCATCGAGACATGATCAGTAAAAAAGAAAACAACCATGGGAAAATCAGCGACCGATCTGCCGGTTCAAAGTCCTAGACAAGAGGTGTCACATGCGCGAAATCATATCATCGCCGTGACCCCTGAGGCTGCAAGTGTGACACACCGGGAAAAAGAGGTGCCTCGACGACCAACCTCAAAATACAGAGATACACAACTGAACTACAAGCGTTTTCATTGAAGGAATAGTGGATGACTGCGATGAAGACGGTAGCGAAGGTTCTGATCCTCCGACTAGGTCGTTTCTTCGAAGATGACTTAACGAGCAGTCCTGACAAGTTGAGCAGACAATGGGCCACAAAATGAACCTTTTGCTTGAAGTGATACAAAGCTATGGTGAGACCTAAGCCCGATTGCTCGAACTAATAGTTAGTAAAGTCTTCGAAAAGAAACCTATTGATCAGGCTCGGCAGCTTCCTCTTAAAGGTAATTCCCTACAGGCCGAAGTGGTATCTATTCGGCCCAAAACAATTGACTTAGAAAAAAGGGGAGGATCAAGTAGTAGGTCAGATAGATCCGACCAGAGAGTGGAAGCAACACCCGTCGATATGACCGAGGTCCAGCGTATGATTGATTCGGCCATGAAAAAGGGGCCAAAGTTCCCTAAATTCATCCACCTGTATCCAGCTTATGTGGAAAAGTTCGAATATCATAAAGGTTTCAAGATTCCAGATTTCAGCCATTTTGCTGGAGAATGGTCCTTATCCTCGTTAAAACATGTGGCTCGTTTCACTGCACAATGTGGAGACATTAATAGTAACTTTCACAAGCTACGGTTGTTCAACTTTTCGTTGACAAGCTCAGAATTTGCATGATATATCAACCTCCCACCTTGTTTGTACCATACTTAGGGCTTTCGTATTTAAGATCTCATATAAATACTCGGGGGACTCAAATGTAATTATGTAATAAATGAAGGGGCAAATATGTAATAAGTGAGGAGCCCTTATTCTATAAAATGACTCATTACTCTCCTCATTAGGAGAGTTTAGGCCATGGGAAGAGAGAATAGGCTAAAGAGCACACTGCCTCTAGCCTCCTTGTATATTCACCATTCAGAGTGAAACAATATCAACATCAGTGTGGACGTAGCCCAAACATTGGGGTGAACCACGACACATCTTGTATTCTTTACTTTCTTGCAGATACACGGTCGGATTTACATTGTTCCAAGACCCTTCCAGTTTTATGCATCAACATTTAGCGCCGTTTGTGGGAAACAACACGAAAATCTATGTCGGTTCTCTTTTATTTTTTCATCTCACCACCGTGAAAACTTCATGACCTCCACCGTGAATCTGTAGAGAAATCAGAAATCCCAAGACACAACAACAGGATGAGGATTTAAGGCTCTGTACAAGCAGACATTTGCGACTTATCCTAATGAGAAGCTGAATAAGTCATTTGCCAATTATCTCTCCATATCCAGCAGGACCAGCATCGATGATACTCGTTTCCACACCTTGAAAATGGGAAGCGTAAACAACAAACCATGACCATTCAGCGCGCAGCACCACCAGCAGCCTCTCTACACCCGCACGCACCAGATCGGAGCCCTCCTCTTGGTCGCCGCCACTTTCTTCTTCACCAGCCTCTTAGACCGCTCCTTTCGCCCTTGCGCCTCTCACTTCCCCGCCATAGATCTCCTCCCCAATTCACGGAGCTCCGTCCAAGTCACCGACTACCGAGATCTCTTGTGGCCCCAACGAGGAGCCTCAAATAGCTGCTCAATACGGCACGCGCACGGCCTCTGCTATCTGCTCTGCTGACATTGAAGAATCTGACTCTCTCTCTCTCATCAATCACTTTCTCTCTCATCGCTATGCAAATCCTCACCTCATCTCCACCTACAGACTTCATTTTCCTAGAATTCAAATCCATGGAATTGGTCTCCCCGTTTAGATTCTGCTCAGAAATCGTCAATTCCTCTCTGGAATTGGGGAGTTCACTCCGATCCTGCAGCAAAGCACGCATCTTTTCCTACATACTCGTCTGAGATCCGAGTGCCTTAATCGACGGACTGCTCGAAACCCGAGGAAGCTTGTCGCCATTTCCCGCTGCAGGATGGAATCTAAACAGTGGTTGTTCAGTACTGTTGTTATTATTCGTTCCCAGCTGTGATGTTTTGCCATTGAAGCTCCTGCTTCCGAAACATGAAAACTTTGCCGCCCTCTCGGCGAATCCAGGGTCAACGAAAAACTCCACCAAGCTGGAATTCAAGGCCATGGAGTTTCTTAAATTGGCTAGCTTTTCTTTCTTCAAATGGTGATTCGGAACGTGCAGGTTTAACTTGGGCGGCGAGTTCAACGGGTTGCTGTAGCATGAAATGTTAGCACTTGCATTTCCATTTCTACCCATGTAAGAATTTTGAATTCCCAACAACGACTGGGAATGCGGCGAGAGATTGCCGAAGTTTCCGATGCTTCCGAGCTTTCCGATCAGTTCCTTGATCATCGCGAAGATTTTGAAGTTGGATCGCTTTCCGAGCTTAGAGCTTTCCTGTCTCGGAAGCTTCTGGGGGGTGGAGCTCGGACGCACCGTCGGACCTGGAGAGTTTCAGCAAATGGGTGAGGGAACACGAGGGTGCTCGTTCCAACGAAATCTGTGAAGAAGTGCTGGGTTGAGGACGCAGAATCACAACCATGTTCATCCAAAGCCAATGGATGTCGGAAAAATGAGTGGGAAGAAAAAAGCAAGAAGTCAAAATGGTCAGG